CACATAGGTACCAGGGATTAGCACTGAAGTATAACTTTTGTGGTGGGGTGGTGACCTTGGCTGCAGTGACCTTGGGCTCTCTTCATTGTTTTCTCATTAGCAAAATGGGCTCAAGGCTTTATAGGATTTCTGCAAGAATTAGAGAAAAATAATACATTCAAGAGTCTGGCTCATGGGGTGGGGTGGGTGGGCAGGGGCTGCTAATAACAAACATTTAATATTTAACAACAAAATTTCTCTGGGGTTGATTAAAGTGTTCTGAAATTGGGGGCAATGTTTGCACCACTCAGTATTCCAAAAGCCACTAAATCACACACTTTAAAGGGTAAACCAAAGGTATACAAGTTAACRCTCAGCTAAGCTGTTATTTTTAAAAAAGGGGCTCTCTCTTGGGACAGTCTCTTCATAGTTCCTATTGTTACTGAGGATGTGCCAGGACAGGTTGAGTATCCCTTATCCAAGATCCCTGGGACCAGAAGTGCTTCAGATTGCATGCATTTAGAATTCTGAATCCTGGATGARGGTGTTCAACCCATAGACGCTATTCTTAAAATCGTCTCTGAGTGTTCAGACTTCCACTTTTTTCTCACATGGCCGCCCTGTTTGTGAGTTACACTTGAAACAGGAGCCACAGGCAAGGGGACTTTGAGCCTCACATACACGTGCATTTGCTGGGGTGATGAGCATTTGTTCTGCTTGCACGTGGGTAGTTCACACAGACGTGACATTGAGAAAGAGCCTCACATGTGGACGTGCTCACTGATGTACTACTTACCAAACACATCTGAGGTAGGATAGGATATTACTTTCACCCACGAGCTCCTCCAAAAGAAGGACTAAAATGAAATTTCATTTCATGCCAACTGCATTTCTCACTTATGATTGCCAGTGTGATATTGAGACCAAAAGTCTTCTTCCAGGAAATTCAATTAGTGGTTAAACACTGAACTAACCAGGATAATTTGCATTCTCTAATCTCTGTCTTATTGCAGGTAGTCAGAATCCACGCGCCCCTTTCACCTGGGAAGGAGTAAGAAAACCATAATTAGAACAAAAGCATTAAGCTGTGTGATTGCCCAATGCACCATTGCTTCYGGGATTAAAACTGAGTTTCAGAGGACCAAAACTTATCTTTAGGGAATGTAGTCTCCCAAGTTTTCACTTGGAAAACTGACAAAGCCAACTAAAGTTTTAATAAATTCTGCTTCTTTGCCATTCAAGGAGAAAACAACAGGATTTTAAATTTTGAAGGAAGGCTGTGGATTCTCACAGGAGAAGCTCATTTCTCTGGCCCTGTCTTCTATTTCTGTGCCGTGGCTCTTGTCCCTGCTCTGGGCACCTTGTCCCTCTCTAAACAGTGCTGGGGAGGGAGGAGAGTGAGGGTTGAGAAGCTCAAGCCTCAGACACACAGGCCTGGCTCAGAWCCAGCTCACCTTTTGCACCAGGCACCTTGGCCAGGGGACGATGGCCCAGGCACTGCTGTATGAGGATCAGGTGGCAGGAGACCAGCCGGCACCCAGACTCCAGGAGGGCACCGTACAGGGTAGCCCTCCTCACCCCCAGTGTCCCCAGACGTGACCTCAGCCACGTTCCTCTGTTCCTAGTCGGCATGCCTTTCTGCTGTCTCTTTAAAGCAGTTGCCCACACTCTCCATCCTTCCCAAACACGGGAGCCTCCCTTCCGATCTTTCCCCCCCTATATCCATCCAGGGAAAAGAAGCCCTTTCCCCTTGAAAGTTCAAAGACGGCTKGCTGGAATTAAATCCATATTCTGAGATTCTTCCAAGTTTAAAACTAAATGTCTATGACATTCAACTTAAAACAAATTACATCGCCTTATCTAACTTGGGGCCAGAGAAGACTGTGAGAACATCAGAATTTTGCATCTCAGAACCCCYGAGTGCTTCAGTTTTGTATCCACTGTTGTTTCCAACAATCGTTACAGTGAAGTGATTAATTATACCCCAGATAGTCCAAAGCACTTATTTAATTATGCTGTATTCCAGGCTGCCAATGGTGTGGAGCACAGGGCAGGCCTTCACCCGCGTTTCTCAACATCTGGCCTTTGGATGACTTAAAAGATAAAAGGAGATATGTGAACATTTTTATGACCAAGTAACAATTTCTAGAAATTTTCCACTAAGTAGAGAACTTTTGCAATAATTTGCTCCTCGTGATTAGAACATGCTGACATATTTTACTGTAAGTCTTCAGCTTATTTAGATCAATGCAAAATAGAAATAGATCGATGCACTCCAAACAAAACACGGGTGCCACGTTTTGCTCAGGGAAGGAGAGTCCTATTGTAGCATATCTATAATTCCTCTCCAACTGGGTTCATTTCCACTTTCCCTTTGCTTGCTTTTTAAAGTTCTCTTTCTTTAGGCCTCCAAAAATCAACATTGATAAATAGAAGAACCCATTACCCATTCTAAACTTAGAAATGTCTTTTTATAAAGAAGAGCTCAAGGAAAGAGACACCAGCTGCCCTAGAGAGGTGATGACCAAAGTTAGGCCCAAGTGATTGACTTGGTGATACTTGCAGATGCTAGCTTGGGGGTCAGGGTCCACGCATGATGACTCTGGGATTTGAAATAGCCCCCAATTACTCATATGCTTAGACACAGTATTGCACAGCCTAGCCCTTCCAGGTTTCTAACGGCCTCTGGCCTTGGTGCTGCTTCTCAGTTAGGGTACAAGCAGCCCAGACCTGGTCTTCCTCTTTTTCCTACTGCCCATGACACCTCACCAAAAAGCTTTGGTGAATGAACCCATTGAATCCTATGAATCCATTAGTGTGCATTTGTTCACCAGCCTTGTTCCAAACAGATGCTGGCTGGGCCTGGTGGTGTACACCTCTAATCCCAGTGGCTCGGAGGTTGAGGCAGGAGGGTGGCAAACTCAAAGCCAGCCCCAGCAACTTAGCAAAGCCCTAAGCAACTCAGTGAGATCCTGGTGTCTCTAAATGAAATACAAAAAAGGGCTGGGGATGTGGATTAGTGGTTATGAGTCCCTGAGTTCAATCCCCCGTACCAAAAAAATAGAAAAGAAAAGAAATAGATGCTGGCCAATTTCGCCCACTCCCTTCCATTTAAGTATTGGAAATTCTGGCATCCTATCAAAACTTAAGAATGGAAAAATAGCCACCCACCAGGCACCATCAGGAAGCAGAGGATGAGTGGTGGGCTGAACAAACCAGTGAGCAAGTATGACTGACAGGGGAGCCCTCACAAGGTGCCCCCCCGGGACGAGCCTAGTCATCTGAGACACTGACAGCGAATGCAATTCACCAGCTCTTTCTGAAGGATAAAGGTGGCCTCACACCCTTGGGTGGATGCAGCAAAAATTACATACTAGAACTAATGCCCTGAACTGCAGTGCATGGACCATCCCCTCAGGCCCGAATCTGTTAACGTGACGTGAAAAATCCCGTGGTTGATACAGAATGCGTGTGAATTATGCCATTGAGTCTGTGGAGGTTCATGTCTCAAAAAAGGTTGAGTCACAGTGTTGGAGTGTCCCTTTACACTCAGGTGTGCTGGGAATGTCCCTTTACACTCAGGTGAATTTGCATGGAAGTACTGTGTGTTTCTGAAGCCAAGATTGTGGTCCCCTTGCTAAGTAGTGGAAGGAACTGGAAGTGTGGAATTCACAGAGCTGCCAGTTTAACTGTGACCAAACTGCCACCTCTCCAGGAAAACCTTTCCTTTGGCATCAAGGGGCACCTTTTAAATTAAAGTACTCAGCTGTCCCACATTGGAAAAGAGAGAATTGAGAGCAGCAGCCCAGCCAATGTCCCCTACAGCCTGAAGGAAGCGGATGTCCTTAAGCAAGTGTGGTCCAGGGACAAGGCTCTGCGCCCCAGAGGGCAGACAAGTGTCATGGACCACGGCTAAACACTACCTCTGCCGCTGCAAATTAGAAGGTTTGGCAAATTAGGCCATTTTAAAAAACAATCTATACTTTTATTCCCAAACCTAGATGTTGGCCCCCAAAACAGCTCTTTTCTTAGTTACTGTTATTCCCAGAAGTAAGTTTGCCTTGTGAGAGTTGAACTCTGTGTTGGGGAGTCACAGATGGCCAGCATTGCTATGGGCAGACATTGACATTCCAAACACATTCCGAAACTGCCAGTGTTTGGAATAACCCACGCACAGCACCCTCCCCCGCAGGTCTGACCTTATCAAGCACTCACTGGCCCCTCCGCCGGCTCAAACTTCTCCCACAATGGCACAGCCACCTGACAGGTAGCTGCTATTTGCTATTCTTCCAGGTGAAAAAAATCAAGGCTCAGTGAGACGAAAGAGCCTGGGTAGGTCTCACAGCTGGAAAGCGGCCGAGCTGGACCCCAGAGGCCACCTTCTCAGATGTGGGGCTGGGGCATCTCTGCACGGTGTCCCTGGGTTCTATAAAGAGCTGACCGCAGGATCGATAGGCCAGACATGGCCTCCAAGGAGCAGTTAGAACACTTTGGTAACATATTGGTTTCTTTATTTGCACATCTCTCACAAATTATATAAATAAAAAATATATAAATTTGTACTCGTCTGAATCTCTTCAATGTATAGGAAATATGGCTGCTCAGGATAGATTATTTATGCTTGTCCTTTAAAATAAGAAAGGAAAGATTTCCCCTCTGACTCGTGTCTGCTAATTTGGACATGGTCATTGGCAGAGGAGGCATCGTTTCTCTGGACACTTCTTCCTTGCAAATATATCTTTGAAATACACACACACACACACACACACACACACACACACACACACATAAAGGCAAAATATAATCTGTTCTTTGCCATAAAATATTTCAAATGAAAAAAATCCTCAGACTTGTTTTTCAGAAGGTTTGCAAAATGAATGAGTGTGAACACATGACACAAAAATGTCCTTCTGAGTCAAGCGGGTGTTTCTCCCTCTTCTCTCTCCCCATGGAGAGCTGTGCGATGGCCATGAACCAGGAGCTGTCCTTCACAACTTTTTTTCTTACTTCTTTTTCAACAGGGGACTTATTATGTTTGAAAATAAAACCTACATCTTGGAGCCAATGGCAAATGCCACCGATAGGTACAAACTCTTCCCAGCCAAGGACCTGAGGAGAAGCTGGGGCTGGTGTGGCTCCCAGCACAACACCTCTGGCCACCCTGCGGACGTGGTCCACCCCGCCACCCAGACGCCGTGGAGGAGGGTACGTGGGAAACCCAGTCTCGTGCTTCTGGGAAGCAGAGCTCAAGCGAGGGGTGTCGGGAGCTCTGGGGACATTTTGCCTCAGGACGCTGAGGACAAGGAATGGACATCCCCATTTGTCGGGAGGGGGAGGACGTGGCATTGCAGAGCACGATCAGGGCCCAAAGTCTCCATTGCTGTGTGGCAAATGTCAGTCTCAGACATGCTAAAATACACTGGTAACATGGCGTCCTCGGGGTCAGGATGACAATGCTGCCATTTGTCATGTCTCAAGGTTGGGCCACCAAAGGGCAAACTAGACCAAAATGGCCCCGGCACTCTGTGGCTGCTCTCCTCCTGCTATGAGGGAAGGGTGGCGGTGTGAGGTTTCTTCATTCGGTCTGCTTTCCAGTTAGGTCCCCACAAGAGGGCACAGAAAATGCTCAGTGCTGGCTGACCTGCCCAGCAGAGCTGTCCCGGTCCTTGTCTGTGCTGCTTGCTAAGCCGTCCTGCTGGCCCACAGACCATGCCCCAGCACCTGTCCCCGGCCTCCTGGGACTGTGCAGCAGTCCAGATATTCTGGGCACCTTCTCTGGCTCTGCTCTTAGAAGGTCCTCCTCCTGCCACAGCACTGGGAAGAGGGGCTGCTAGCCGAGTCCCCTCCCTGACCCTTCCCGTGTGATGTGGTAAAACCTCTGCCCCAGACGGCAGCCGCCCTGCCGTCCACGGGATGGGGGCTACTCAAGCCACAGGAGCACTCGGGGAGAACGGAAGGGGGTCCCTCCCTCATGAGGTCGGAGGCTCTGAATTTAAGTGAGCACAACCAGAGAGGACATCGTCCACACTTTCCTGGTCTTTTTATGTGTAGATCTCCTACTCCTCAATGGACAGGAAGTCAAAAAACATCAAAGATGAGATGTCATGCTCACATTTGACTATCGGGGTGCGCTCCTTGTCCCTCTCGACACGTTCTATCTTCTCTAACTTGAAGTCGACCGCTGCTTCACAGTCCATGTTTCAGGAGTATTATTCTTGGTTCATTCTAAATCGATCCCTTTTCTAGATTCCAACAGTAAGGGACATCCTACATGATTCCCTCAGTCCTAACCTTCCCTTCATACCTGTGGAGTGTCTGGGCCCTCACCTGCTCTTAACTGCACCAGTCCAGGACACTCGGCACAGGTTTCCTGCCCGTTTGACCCTGACCTTTTCTATTATCGGGCTCCCAGGTTTTCCATGGTGGGTGCTTGAAAGCTCCCTCTTGAAATCTCTGTCACCAGCACAGGAGGGGAGAGCTGTCCCTCAGGTGCGGTGGCTCACTGGCTGGGTGGTGGGGGAGGCTGTGTCTGAAAACCAGGAAGCGGGTCTGGAAACAGCAGCAGCCCCTAAGGAAGGTCCACCCGGTGCCTCTGCCCTGCCCCTCTTGAGGGTCAGATCTAAGAGCTGGAATCACCGGGATGGGCCTCTTCGGTCTCAGCTTGTGAGTTTCACCCCTGGGGCGGGCTTGCCTTTGGTTGCAGACCTTGGATGAGATGCGATTAAGCCACAGCTTGACAAATCAGGAACAAGAGGGACATCTGCATATTGTTTCCCAGGCTCCTGGCTTTGAGGACCTGGTTGAATGACTGTTGTCCACATTCTGTGATTTATTACTCAACAGTTTAAATGGCACTTGAATATGTGGGCCATTTCATTTAGAACAGACCTGATCTGTACTTTCCCACTGTATTTCAATTCTTAAAGCACAGTTCTCCAGGACTATGATTGGCACTACAATGTCCAGTCACTTTGACTGTTAGCAAAATGGGAAGAAGTTGATAACGATGCTGTTTTGTTAATAATGCATATTGGAGTGTAAATGAACCTTTAAATTGAAAAGGGAGCGCCATCGGTGCTGTTCAGCTTGGTTCTCCGTATTGCTCTAGAAATAGTTGTAATTGTTTTTATGCAAGAGAAGTGTCCTTGACCTCAACTGTGTTTATATAATGAAAATGGTAAAAAAAAAAAAAATCATTTTCAAATAAGTGGAATACTTGGAAATTAGAATCACCCAGAGTTAGTTTTGGATAATACCTGATAAATATGACAGGCACATTTTACAGTTAGATGCCACTCACCAATATGTTAGATGCCTAACTTATCGTTGCCTTTATTTTACACCAAAAAAAAAAAWAATAACTGCCACTATATAACTGCCACTAACCAATCTCCGTTAGGCAGCACAGCGTTGTGGGTGGCAGGTTTCCTGCCCCACTCAGTGCTAACTGTCGCAGTTACGGATGTGAATTTTCTGCAGATGTTGGGGTTTTTGTTCCCCAAGCATCAGAAATCAATCCACACTCGGAGTCACACCAGCCACGATACAGATGTGAGCTACTGTTTGTCATTTTTACAAGGCTCTACATTAGACTCCAATGAGAGTCCACGCGGCTTCTGGAGGGGCACAGAGAGACAGGAGTGGCACTGTCCGCTCTCCTCCTGCCCAGAGCTCCCTGACCGCTCCGTCCCCCTGCCCCGCCCTCCCTCTCCACGGCTCTGCACTCAAGAATGGAAACTTCTAACACACCCTTCATGAAGCCCTGAAGGAGGCAAAGGATAAACCTGCTATTGGAGAAAATCCCATAATAGATCCAAAGGGAAATTATCTTTGAACCATCCTTTCCTTGGGAATTGTCTCTACCATCACTCCCCACCATTGGTCGGAGTCAAATGTCGAAGTGGCTGCCTTCTCTGGGACGAAGCCTTGGCTTGGGCCCCTGAGCACGTAGGAGAGCAGGGCTGGGAGGGGCTGCGGTGCATCCTCAGGTGGACTGGGCACCACGTCTGTTTCCAGCCGCCCACCAGGAGTTCCCAGGAGCCCCGGGGCTGTGGCGGTGTTGGCTGTAATGCAAACACCTCCCAACGCAGCTCCTGACGTGGCTGGGCCTCGGGAAGCACCAGGGCTGTTTGAAAGTTCCCTTTCCCTCCTGACCACCCTCGCTCCACACCCCGAGGGAGCCTGGGCACGTAGCCCACGGCCGTGGCTGCTCTTCACGTGGGAGGGGGCGGCAGAGGCTCCCCATGTCCAGGTGTGGGTCCCTGTGAGTCTCAAATTCACTCAAACTCTGAATGAATAACACCTCTCCCTCGTGCCTCTGGGGTTTGGGGACTCAACTTTACAACTCGCTTTTGTCCCTGTCAGCCTGGAGTTGGTCAGGTCCAGCCGCTCCTGGTGACCTGTCTCCTGCCAGCTCGCACACCAGCCAGGCCTCGGGCTGCATCCTGCATGGATGTGGTTGGTGTGCACGGTCCCCACTCACGTCATTGTCAAGGGGTGGAGGTGGCCTTTCAGAGCCGAGACCAGGGCCTCACGGTGAATATGCACAAAGCCACCCTGGAGCCTGGCCTGGGGCTGAGCTGCTGCTGGTGGCCCCTGGCTCAGGAAGCTAAGCCAAGCTTCCGGTTCAGCTGACTTGCCCATCTCGCCAGAGCTGGAGCCCCTGGGCCTGGGCCATTGCCACGGTATTCTGTTGCCTAATTGTGTTTGGCCCCCTCTCACCTCCACCAGTGCCCACCTGGGTGGCTGCACAGGTGCACTCACAGGTGATCCTCCCAGCAGCCAGAGAGACACTCGAGTGCTCCACTGCTTTTCAGTTATTAGATCCTCATCAGCTCCCTCACACGGCCGTGCCCTGGGCTGACTTCAGCCCTCACCTCGCCCACCCTGCCTGTGGCTACAGGTCCCCAGGCTCTTCCCCACCTCTGTCCTCCTGCTGTTGCTGTTCCACCTACCTGGCACACTGTTCCCACAATGCCTGCCCCACGTGCCCTCTCCCCATCCTTCAGGCCAACTCAGGCCTTGCTCCTCACCATCCTTATGGCTGACCCCTATGTATTCCTCCGGTTGCCCTCTTCACAGAGTTTTATTTGTGTTAATTCTCCACTATTACCCCTCCTCCCAACCCCACTGGAATGTGAGCTTCGTGTGGGCAGTCACCTTGGCCTTGCCCTTCCCGGTATCCCTAGCACCCAGCACAGCACCTGCACACAGCCAGCTCCCCATAGGCCTTGTGGGAAGATGCGCCCTCTGCAATGCTCTGCCCCACGTGAACCACAGATCGCCAGGCAACTACCGAATCCCTGATCTCAGCTTGCTTTTCTAGCTAGAATCAGGTCCAGCTCTCAGGGCCAGAGTTGGTCGCAGCCTGTTTGGGGGATAGTCTGTCTCTGGGAACTTGGCTGTGATGACCTTGAAAGGCCCAGGAACTGGTGTGCCCCTGATCAAGACTCAAAGAATCCTCTGTCTCCATCTTGGCGCAGAGATGGTTGGGCCATCCCCAGACACTTAGGTTACTCTTTGGGGATAGGCTTTTGTTCCCAGCCCCCCCGAAAGGAAATTGAGAYGGGCCACCAGTTCCTGGGGCTGCTCTGCCTATCACCAGTTCAAACTGTGGTTTTCTTTCCCTGGACCTCCTGGGTAGGTGGAAACTGGGGAGGTGATCTAAGGCTCTCTGTCGGTGAGAGCAACCCTCCATGGCTGCCCGTTCCCTGGTGGCTTTATATCATGATGTGGTTAAGCTTCTCTCTGAGCTGGCAGTTCTCTGAATTCGTGAGAAAATCTGGACTTCTCTGAAAACTGCAGAGACAGGGAAATTGTGTTCATGTGTTTGTTTTCATTATCTGGAATTGTGTATTTTCTAAATGATGATCCGGGGCCAGTTGGAAATATCCCCTGGTCGTTGATTTCACCCGCCAGTCTGAAAAGCCAGGGCCCTTTCAACAAGTTTTTCAGTGAGAGATTAATCTTTCATTTTCAGACTTGTATTTTCTTCTGCATAATTAGCTAAATTTGTTCATGGGTCAATCAGGAAATTTGGGGGCAAAAGAGAGATTTCTGCTTCTGGGACCCTTTGGCTAGGAAAAGGGGCAGGACCTTTATTTCAGAAAGGGTCTCATTTTGAGCGCACATGGGCACCGCGGGGCTGGGTTTTGTGTGGGGGTGTTTTCCTTTATCAGTGCCCATGATCACCACAAAGCCTGCGTGGGCACAGGGTTACAGAACTGGCGTCTTCCTGGCAAGACYGTGAAAGCATAGGAAAAGGTACCTTCCCAGAGCCTGGTTCTCATTCCTCCCCGAGGCCGTCCAGATTTCTTTCGGGACACCTAACTTCATGAATCAGCACAGCTGGGTGGCAAGCAGGAACACAGCTTAAAGACAAACATTTTTCTTGTAAAAATCTGTTTGGAAGATCCCAGACGGATGGGGATTCGTTTTATAAAAGATGTTTCCCTCAGGATTATGTGACTGGAAATCTGATTCAAAGCATTCCTGAGTYCCTTGGCTTTGTCTGAAGGAGTGGTTAGGACAGGCAAGCCTTCTGCCAAGCGGGGTGCGCGCACTTAACTCACAAACCAGCAATTTCATTCAGGAGGACCAGAGAGTGTTCGGCTCCCACTTCCTGCAGCAGCACGTTATTGCAGAAACAGAGGGCTGTGGGTTGTTTTTCATGTTTGCTTTCTGAGACCACCCTCCATGAATTGCTTTATTTCTCCTTTAAAAAAAAAACATGCCTTTGGGATTTGCCCAGTAATTCACAGAAGGTTGTGAATGCTTTCTGAGGAAGCTTGGTTCAGAGGTGACCCAGCCCAGAGGCCGCCTTGTTTGGGATGGAGTTCAGGCTGCTCGGCCCGCCTCGTCTCCATCTCTGTGCCTTGATGCAGACCTTGATTCCAGTTCTTCTCAACTGTTCTGCTCCAACCAAGCCCTGGTTCTTCAAGGGCACATTCCAGTCCTTTCTAGTTAGTTTGTTGGTTCCGGTTCCTGTTCTTGTGCTGTGCCTCCTGGCCCCTCCTTCTCGCCTGTCTGATCAGCCTGGCTGTTCCCTTCAGACCGTCTCCTTCTTCCATTTCTTCTAACTAGGTTTTAAATGATCGGCCACTCCTGGGGTGGATCTCTTAGCATCCCAGAGGATGCTAAGAAGATGCAGTTGCTCTTTGAAAAGTATTCTCCTCCAGCTTTCCCAAATCACAGAACAGGTACCTTTGGATCCTACAGGTGAAAGGAACCCCCGTGACACACTGAACCCCYCCTCTCCCTCTGGGACCTCCACACGTGTGAAGTGGTGGCCTCTGGCCAGCTGCCCCTGTAGGGAGAGACTTCCTGTTCTTTAGTGTCCTCATTTGGCTAGTAGTGACCTTGACCTGTGCCGATCCTATAATCAAGGATTCAGCAGGAAGGTGTAACTCCTTTTTAGGATTTCCCAAGTGGAAACAGAAAATACTCACTCATGTGGAGAAGGTTTTACAAAAATGGCTAGAGGCGGGGTCAACCTGTATTGGACTGGAGGAGGCGGGCCGGTAGGTTTGGTCGGGGTCCACTCTCGGCTTTAAGTGGTTAGATGGGAGACATTGGCAATGTTCTGGAAGCCTCGGGGAGGAGGTACAGGAAATTAAATTCATGTTTACTTTTGGCAGCATAAAAGAGAGACCCTCAAGATGACCAAGTACGTAGAGCTGGTTATCGTAGCAGACAACAGAGAGGTAAGACCTTCTAGAAACTTCTCAGTAGAGTTGGTAAAGATAGAAAAAGAAAGAAAAATGGAAATGTTTATTTAGCAAGATATTATTTGCTGAAGGAATTAGGATTTAAGTTCATTGCTAGTGCATACTTAAAAGCATCAGAAACACCCCATATACAAAGTGATTTTCTAATTATATAAAATACAGAGTACTAAAATGTATCTGTTATCAAATACTAGCAAAGCCTGCAAGGGAAAAAAAAAAGTTTCTCTGTAGCTAAGCTCTCCAAACAAGAATTAATTGGGTAAATGATGATGAATGGCTTTTGATCATGTTCTAAAACATTTTTGAGAAAAGTTAAGCTTTTAAAATGTCTGCTATGTCCTAAACCAGACTGAATGGACGAAGGAAGGTTATAGAGACAGCAGAAAAGTCCTAACCTCTGAGCTGTGGCTTGGTACTATGTTAGATTTTTCTTTCAGTTAATTTTGAGTTAGGTTTTTCTTAGATTATCTTCTCTGTGCTTATGTATTGTGTCATTGACATATGATGAATCAGGTGACATTTTCCCATAGACTCATGCCACACACGGAAATGAAACGGTCTTGACAATTTCTCAGAACTGTTTCTGTCCTGGAAGTGCAGATGGGAGAAGAGAGTGGGGAGTTTATTAACTTTTTATCCATCACCTTCTGCACTGGGACATGGTGCCATGACCTCCTATTGCTTTTACTGTTTAATTTTTAAAAACAAATATAAAGGAAGTTTCTGGGCAAGTTAAAATCAAGTTGATGATATGAAAAATGGCTCTGGACTGCTTTCTTGTTGTCCATTTTCCCTTTGCCAAAACATGTCACTGCCTCCATCATTTATGAGCCTGGAACAATTGCAGAAGTCCCTGTCTTCGGAGCACTTGGCGTGGGTGCGTTTCAGGGAGTTTCACGAGTCCCCAGCCGAGGGAAGCATTCAGCAGGGCGGGAGCTCACTTCACTGGAGGCCATGCGGGAGGCAGGGGGGTCATAAAAGCCGAGATTTTTGCATTTCCAGGAGCAGGGAAGATGACTTTTGATTGATATTCTTGCTGTTATTAATGCTGACATTTAAAATTGTTAAGTTTCAGAGGCAAGGAAAAGATCTGGAAAAAGTTAAGCAGCGATTAATTGAGATCGCTAATCACGTTGACAAGGTGAGTTCATTCTCAGGTAATTAAATCCTTCAAATCATGTAAATGTTTGGAAATGAGGTCGAGAGAATTAAGTGCATTGTCTGCAGCATCAAGGAGACTGGCTCTACCCCTGGGTCCCCACCCCTGGGTCCCCAAGCTGGTCCCATTCTCTGAGCAGGTGACTCCCAGGTACTTGCAGCTTCAGGGGTTGCCCAGGGAAGGATTAGGAGCGAGGGTCCCRGGGACTCAGGAGGCAGAGATCTGGGCTCAGCACTCAGGGAGCCGATGGCCAGCTGGAACTTTTGGAAAGTCAGAAAAATGCAGATGGACATGGATATCCCGGGATGATATTGCTCCTGTCCACCAGTCCTTCAAGGCAAGTCAAACTCCCAGGAGACTCATTCTTACTGATTTATTTTCAGTAGTAACTCTTTGAACATTAAATTTGATCTCACAGTCAAGCAGATGCAGGAGAATCCTGATAAAAGGTAAGCCCCTCTGACAGGGAGGGCGAAGGTTGTATCACTAGAGGACCTTGGACCCTCCTCCCCAAGCCAATTGGAGAGTGTCTGTGTCCAAGCCCGAGCCAGACCAATCGGATCCGGATCCCTGCAAGACAATGAAGAGTTACAGCTGGGTCACATGCGTCCAGCAGGGGTTAGAATCCCTGGGCAGTTTTGTTTGCTTGTCTGGTGTCCACTCTGCAAGATACCGATTCTCAAGTCTCAGTCCAGGGACTCTGATCTGATGGGCCTGGGCAGGGCACAGGTAGCTGCTGTCCAGGGCCCTCCAGGGATTCCAATGTGGGGCAAGACCAAGGTGAATGACTACCAGGCAGGAGAGCACAATCCCTGATCCATGAGCCCGGGCTGCCACACCCAGGACAGGGTGACTGACCACTGCCCAAAAGGCCTCAGGCTGTGGCACAAAAGGGAGTGACCGTGAGTTCTTCTTAGGCCATTTGACTCTATTAAAATCAAAATTGCTGAAACCCCATTTTTGAAAGTGATATGTTTGGGTCCTCTGTGTCTTTACATATTATTCTAGGATAGATCTTGCTTTAGTTTGCAAAACAAAAATGAGCAATTGGGGGTTTGCTAATAACTTGCACTGCTAGTTAAAGAACCACGTGCTTCGGTGAAGTCCTGGCAGGCTCCAGCCAGTGTGCCCATCGGGCTCTTGTGCTTCTGGCAGAGTCTGTTGGCCACGCACACAGCCCCCAGAGACCCTGGGGGGGGATACCCAGGCTCCTTAGGCTCTGTACACCCAAATCTGCTGACGGATGACCCCCAGGTCTGTTGAGCAGTCCAAATTTCAGTCTCCCAACTCGACACGAGGGACAGTCTTGGCCCCAAAAATATTGACCTTCCCAGAGGCCACTTCCTCATTTTCTGACACTCTGACTCCGCTGGCCATTCTACATTAATARCTGCCTGGCTGCATTGGCTGGGAGGGGGAGAAGGACATACCAGGCTGGAAGAGAGGGAAGGAACTGGATGACAAGGGTGACATTCAGGAAATCCCCCTGTGAGGGGCAGGCGCCTGTCTGATACTCCTAGGCCAAGCAGTGAGGCCCCCCACCATCCTGGGGAAGCATGCAGTGTGGGAAGCAGCAGCACCTTCGCCCCTGAGCCCTTCATGCCAGCAGCTGCGCCCAAGAAGTTAGCACTAGCTGTGCACCTCTAAGGCCAGCCTCAGGCACCTTCTGAAAGACCCAGCCTCTGCTCTGACTCCTGAGAGCCTTTTCTCTCCTGTGACTGGCTTCKTGACCCTCCTCCCCAAGCCCATTGCCTGAGGACACAAAAGCACTCCTTGAACCCCAGGGAATGCCACACTCTGGTTTCCGATCTGTTCCTTCCAGAGAGCTTTCCTTGGCCCCTCCAGCACAGCATGCACTGGACCCCCTGGGGTGGGGTCACTTGGAAGGCCAAGATCAGAGTTAACTGGAACAATGGTGATGTCCCATGGCAAGGGTAAGGGCATCCTGCTCTTTGCTCTCTCTCTGCTGGCCAAGCCCAGCCCACAGCAAGAGCTGAGCAAATATTGTGGCTGTCGTGTAAACAGGAGAATGCCTGGTCCCTAACTGTCCACCTAGCTCTGGGATCTCTAGGCCAGCCAGGCAGCTGTCATACTCCTGGGCCTGGGCCCACAGGAGCCTCGGCRTCTGCATGAGGGTGGCACTGTTACTCGTGGGTCAACGTGGTTCAAAGGGGTCAGTCGGCCTCCTGTGCCCCAGCCCAGCCATGCAGTCACAAACCTGTCCTCTTCCAGCCTCAGTGCCTTGTATGATAAATGGGGATGATAGCAATTCATAACTCAGAATCCTTCTGAGAACGGAGCTAGCTACGGTTCAGAGAGCACCTCAGCGCCTAGCCTGGAGGGTGGCGACCTCCCGGCACAGGAGCTGTGGCTGTCGTTACCAGCAGAACCCAAAGGAACCCACAGCCACAAACATTCCCACCAGCAGTGAAGGATGTGACGGCAGCTCGATGCGACCCCGTACACGGGGCGGTTCGTCAGTGGCCCTCACCTGCGAGAGGGGTTCTGTGTTGTACTCTGCTACATCCAACCTCTGTTCTGGGAGGCAGCTTGGGAGGGTTTATCAGTGGAAGTGTGAACCCCTTCATTATTCTGAGAAGCTCCCTAATCAGTAAGCAGCAAAGTAGCACTGAAGGAGGATGACAGATCAGTCCTTTGCAGACCCTGGCTCCCGATTCCCTACGACAGGCCTGGGAGGCCAATGGAGTTCCCTCCTCAGAGGGCAATGCTGAAGCCCACCCAGGTKTCTGGCCCTGAGGACATCTCTTAGCAAGCTACTGTGAACATCAGCATTGAATCTCCTGCATTTCCGCCTTCTGGTCACTGTTACCCCTGTGTAAGACACAGCTAAAATGTAACCAGGCCAAGGCCAGAAGAACACGTGTGTGCAGAGTAGGGAGGACAGGGGCTTGGATTGCCTGAGAAGCCTGGGCTGGGAGCTTGCGAGGAGACAGCAGGTCAAGCAATTCTTGATGAGAAACACACTCTTGGGCAGTATTTTGGTTGTGTAATTGTCCCATTAGCTTATTAATGAGATGCTGTCATTGTTATCTGTTTGAAACCAAGTTGGACCTCTGCAGTCRGAGGCCCTGTGACGCCACTTGTGCTCCAGGTCTGTTCCTCAGCTTGAGCCAACGCTCACCACGTGACTGTGGGGACCAGCAAGGGAAAAGAGGCGCTGCCTGACGGGGTTAGGATCTGGGGTCAGAGGTTCAACCTTGGGGATTTTCTTGAACTTGAGCTCACCATGTTGGAATGGTGCTTAGCTCTCAAATTTGGAGCTTCTTAGGATTTTTGTTCCTTTTGGCCAGGTGCTTACAGCAACTGAGGATGGGTCCTGCCCACATCTGGAGCTTGGCCGTGGCTACTATCCCAGCTACGTTTTTCTCCTTGATTATTAGTGTTCTCAGAAGGTGGGGGGGGGGGGGGGACTTTGTCATTGCATGCTGCCTCATACATTATAGACACTGAAAGATTTTACAGGCCACCACTGATCCCGTGTCCTCTCCCTATCAACTGTGACCACAGAGCCTTGTCCCTGTTTGTGTGAAGCACATGGGGGCCGTGGGGGCAATGAATAGTTCCTGTCTCTGCCCTGACACCCACCTGCCCATCTCGGACCCTGAGAGACAAGACCATCCTTGGGTCCTGGGAACAGTGGCTTTCCCTCCTGGCCCAGGGCTGTCTCCTGTGGAATGCAGGAGTGGCTGGAGCCACAGCCCCCTAAAGGCTAGGACAGGGGGGAGAGCCAAGCGTGGGATGCCTGAAGCTCCACCTCACAAGCCCCTGCACAGGGGACTTCTGGCGCATCGTCCTGTGGTACAAGGGCCAAACAACTGCCGGCAGGGGTGGAGGGGGACGGCCACTGAAGTCCTGCAGAATGACTGTTTATGTCTGTGTTATTCTGAAAGATACTGACTTGTTTATTTAATTAAAACCTCCTAGGTTGATTATAGGTGGCAGAATATAATAGTGCCAGCCAAGACTGAGACTCTGCTGAAAAATTAATACAGATTCATTTTCAGTCCCTCGTAGGAGAACATTCTGCTGAAATGAATGTTATTGCCCTTGGCAGAAATTTTCTAAAGGATCCTAATTCACTTGTTGTTTTCCTTGCATATTAACTGACAGTCTTTAGCTATAGTATACATCTAGTTGCACATTTAAATCACCAGTGAATCATTTGAAATGTGTGTTTCTAGACCAGCAAAAAGGCTKGTGACTTCAGCGCCTGATCAGTCTAAATCTGCGAATCCACGTAGCACACCACTTTGCATCAGGCACAGCTAATATTTCTTAAATTCTAAAACACAGGGACAAAGGCCCCCAGAGGTGTGTCTCTCACCCATGTCAGTGAATACCAAGGAATGCAAATGTGTTTTGCTCTTCATCTTAAGTTCTCTTAAATGTGATCCTCCAAGGTGCCTGTTTCTCTCAGTTTTATAGACCACTGAACATTCGCATAGTGTTGGTGGGCGTGGAAGTATGGAATGACATCGACAAGTGCACCATCAGTCAGGACCCGTTTACCAGCCTCCACGAGTTTTTGGACTGGAGGAAAATGAAGCTTCTACCTCGAAAATCCCATGACAATGCGCAGCTCATCAGGTGGGTAGCCCGCCGCCCTGGCTTAGGGAAACACGGCCCTCCGCACACTCCCCTCGGCTGCACCTGCATCCCGGCCCTCTCTGCAGAGCGCACCGGCTCCTGCATGGGGTTCTCAGCCACACCAGTGGGGCAGGTRTCGTCTCTACCTGGAGTCACAGGTCTGTTAGGAAAGCCCCTTGGGACACCAGGGAAATCTGTCCCTCTACCGAAGTCTGGTCTCAGTCCCTTCTTCCACAATCGGAGTACGTTCCTCTCTGCCAGTTTTTCTGGTCTTGATATAAAATCCACCTGCGTAGGTTACCTTTTCCAAAGGCTGACTTGTTTTCTTGATTGATGAAAAACATGTTTATACAAGACCTCAGGGCAGGACTTTGGGGTGATTACTGTCAGGTTTGGGAGGGAAAACCTCCACTCCATTCCTCCTGTGAGCTGTTGCTCCCAGACTTCCCAGGTCAGAGCATGCTGGCAGGGTCACCTGCTGGCCTTGTGTTCCTTCTTTACTCAGCATACAGTGGCACCTGTCAGAGCCAGGCGGTGCTGTGGGGCTCTGATCACGGTGGCGACCCACACTAAATCTCCCTGCTCTGAGGCGTTGGAGAGAAGACAGCAAGATATAAAACTCCCGAGGGTGACAAGGGTCATGAAGTTAGCAAGATGAGGGACAGCTAGCTGTGGCCTGGCGTGCTACACCGTGAGATATGACAGCACCTTCAGGCTCCCGAGCAAGGAGCACCCTCACAGCAGTCCGATGGGTACCACGTAGGTGTTTCCAGAGGTGGTACGTGTTCATCTGGGTGGTTAAGCAGTTTGTGCTGCTATCCTGTTCTCAGGCAGCTTACGTCACCTGCGCTGAGGCTGCAGGGACGGAGAGAGCGCTCCTTGGCACTCGGATCTAGTTGGCTGAAAACTCATGGGGAGTTTAGAACCAGCCCGCACCACCCCTGCTCCAGGAGGCGCCTGGTCTGCCCAAGGCTGCTGGCACTCCCCATCATTTACTTTGGCCATTCTCACAGGGGTTCCCTCCCTTGGATCTTTGTGGTTGCCTCACATTTTATGCATTGATTAGCCCTGAACTACTGAAAGGCCACTTCATGGGTTTTGAGTCAGAGTATTTTGTTTCGATTCCCCGTGCACCCCCACCTCCCCCAATGGAGTCTATCCAACTTGAACATCTGGAAATAAGCCGTATTATTTATATGCATGTCTGTTTATCTGTGAAGGTGGTGTACCTGGGTGTTAATATAAGGGCTAAATCCCCTCCTTCTACAAATATGAGCATCGGGTCGACTCTCCACCTCTGTGGATCCCACCTCTGTGGATTCGGCCAAACTGGGGCTGAAAATACCTGATGGGGGGACTCCTTCTGCACTGAACATAAGCAGACTTTCTTTCCTAGTSATTATTCCCTGAACTATCTACATAGATTTTACATTGCATTTGGCATTATAGATAATCTAGAGGTGATTCGAATTCTACCGGAGGATGTGCTTAGGTTCTCTGCCAATACTATGCCGTTTTACACGGGGGATGTGAGTATCCATGGATTTTGACATCCTGGGGGTGCCTTAACCAATCCCTTGTTGATATGCAGGGATGACTGTAGCAGGGTGGATGGATAGATGAGGTTGACATTCACTCACCACCTCTGTCCAATAGACCACAACTAAAATAGCTGGCTTTTCCAACAACATAGGATTGTCTGTTTGTGTACTTGCCCAACACAGCACAAGTCAGTGGTTTAATCCCTTTAAAGGGTTCAACACATACAACGTTAAATACTTAGTTTATAAGGTTGGAATTAACAGGGTTCACGTGAACAGGCCATTGGATCCGTGATCAGGTTAAGAGTCCAGATAAAAGGCAGCTACACGAAGGCCACAGAGTCCCCTTCTAGAATCTTCCACCAAAGGTGCTGATTTCATGGGTGCTTATGGATGCTACACCAGCTCCCAGGGAACCACCATTTCTCTGTGGATTCCAATTTTGCAGGTTGTATTGGCAGGACACTTTGAAGGGGTTTGGGTCTCCTGCAGGCATGCGGAACAAAGGTYGAAACACTAGAACACGCGTCCCCTCTACACAATATTAAAGAAATCCCTTCCTTTTGTTTCCTAGTGGGGTCTATTTCCAAGGCACCACCATTGGCATGGCACCCATCATGAGCATGTGCACTGCGGAGCAGTCTGGAGGCGTGGTCATGGTAAGCCGAGGGCTGGCTTCCCTGGGTGATGGTCCCCAGGAAACCACTGCTCTCTTCAGACTTCCTTTCATGCTGTTCAGACTTAATCTGCTCTTACTCTAGCCGTGTTTATGATCTTCTGTATCCCCATAATATTTTAGGGACTGTTTAGAAAACAGAAATTGCACCCAGTAAAGATGGGCATGTAATAAAGAAACAATCAATCATCTCAGTGGAGGCCAGCCTCCSCCTGTCAGGGGAAACATTTCCAACTGGGACTTCCCGTCAGCGCCTTCCAATCCAGAAATGCCTCTAGTGCCGGGATGAGCCAGGGCATAGGGGTTGCCCTCTCTACTCAGCTCTTTGGATCGACTGTGGTCCCTCCAAATGTTACCGTTCAAGGTTTCCTGATGGTTCTGCCTCCAAGCCCAACAGCCAGAAGTCTGAGGTTTTCAACCGCGTACCACTGCAAATGCTTTACATACCTTCTGGCCAGTGCACAATTTGTCTCTATAATAACCTTATTCTTGGAAGGCAGCGACCTAAGTTTATTGCTTTACAAGGGGAACTTTGTCACATACAGGCTGTGCATGTTTGTAGAAGGAAATAAAACAGGAAGACGATTTGGGCCTCCTTATGGATTTAGGAGGGAGGGGGCTTTGATGGCTGCCCAACAGGGGGGCCTGCTCCAGAAGAGGTTTTCCCCCTCTGCCGTCCGGCTCTGAACTGAAGGGCGCTGGGACGGCAGCAGCCCTTGGACGGGGAGTACCCTCAGACACTTCCTCCATCTCCACTTACCAAGCACAGCCTCGCCCTCCCAAGAAACCACAGTTCCTCCACGTTTTCCAAGCAGAACGTTGTGAGTGCTGGGTTGTGAGAAGGGCAGAAGGAATTGTGTTCTGCTGACTGTGACTTTCTCCCCACTCTAGTCTTCACAGGGAGTGTGCTCAGCATGTCCTCCTCTCCAGGTGCAGGGCCTGGTAGCTCCTGTGCTCCTGTTTGGAGGGACTGTGCCTGCTCACTGGATGGTGGCTCCAGGGAGCTACTCTCTGGTTTCCTTTGAACCTGGAAGTCATTAGAAAGTTTRGGGGGGGGGGGTTGATGCRAGGTTAATTTCAAGTCAGATCACAACTGTATTTTTACAGAGCAGCCTGTAAAGTTTAAAGAGGGAATCATTTTCTGTTTCATGGTTCCATGGTTAGTTGCTACTGACTTTGTCACTTAAAATTGGCAGAGATAAGTTCYGAGAGCTGAAACCAAATTCCCCATGAGCAAAGCAGTGTCACTGTGTAGGGGCTGAAACCATCCTACRACCCCTCAGAGAGGCGCAAGGCTTTCCTTAGCTCTCATCCTGGTTCTGTTTCTGTAGAAGCATTTTATGGAGATTTCTTCCTGAAAAGCATGCTGGGAAATTCATTTTTTAAAAGATGTATAAGTATGGTGTGAGAAATAGAAGCAAATTATGTGTGATGCCGAGAGAATCTAGTCAAAACCAAAGTTAATTATCAAGAAACAGGTCTTACCAATTTGAGAGCAATTCACATCGAATTAAACAAATTCCTTGTTTTATACAACGCATAAGAGAAACATCAGACAGAGTGGAAATGCCCTTTAATTTCTATAAATTCATGAAACCAGCAAGTGCAACATTTTGACCAGGTCTAAAACTTCTATGCTGATTTTCTCTTCTTCTTTCCCTAAATTCATGGGCATTACATGTGACTATGTCTTGCTTGAGGATTCTCAGATCTAAGAGGAATGAAAYAACGTGGCCAGGAAGCAGAAATCTTCAAAAAAAAAAAATGTAGAATATGGTTTCTGGTATTATTTCTCCAATTTTCAATCACTAACTTCAGCAACTTAAAATAGTCACCTTATATCTAACTGGCCCCAAATAGGTTTTGATTCMGGGACTGTACCAGAAATAGAGAGGTTGTTTTTCTCCTTATTACAAATTCAAACTGTTACCAAGGTCTCTTAAGAGATATTCTGTTTATAATCATTTATGCATAAAAAATATAAAGTAACTGCAATTAAAACCCCAACTGTGATTTCCAGTGATGCAAGAGAATCCTTGATGTCAAAGAACTTTGTGCCAACACGTGCTCAGGTCAATCCTTGCGTTCTTAGGCTGGCTACACTCTCTTCACCAATGCGTAGGATCCTAAGAATTGATTTCCTGAACACGTATTTGTAAAGCTTCCTAAAGCAGGAAACTGTAAAATATTTTTTTWAAAAAAATAATTTATTAGGAATTCCATCTTTTCTAATAACTTTCTTCCTTGACATGCCATTCTTTCCTGAAGTTGAGGGCTAGCAGGGTGAGAGCTACCACCGTAAACACCACTGGCCAAGATCTTACGAGAACTGCTTTTATCCAGGTCCTCACAAAGACTGCGAATCAGGAAGAGTGTTTTCTCTCACATGCAGAACCACACTGCTTCCTGGATGCCTTTGGGAAAACCTCGTCTCTCTTCCCTGGGGAGCACAAATGGAGATTCCAGAAAGATGCTCTTCTTACTCTGTGGCCAGTAGGCCCTTTCAAAACCACCATCCAGGAGCACGATTTCTGTGAATCACATACACTCATTAACGAACATTTAAGAAACTTTGCTTTTTAGTGGGTTTCTAGTGTCTGCTTAGCCAAGCCCGCCAAGCACACCACTAGCTGGGTGGCCAGGCAGGGCTTGCCGAATGGGGAACCACCTTCCTCTTTTCCTTTTTGGCAAAGCCGAAAGTGAACCCCCAGCAGCAGCACCCGGAGCATCAGGCGCCTCTGTTGACGTCCACAGGCAACCTGACCCCACAAAGGGCCAGCGGGAGTGGGAGCTGATTGTAACCGGGGTTCGGTCAGTCTCCAAGCAGACGACTCCATGGGGTCAGCCTTCCCTGTGAGTTAGCGTGAACTTTGCCAGTATCCAACTGACCGAATCGACAGGCGAGGCGGGGCCGTCACAGCTGCTCAGGCCGTAGGTTGCGTGTCAGAGAGCACCTTCCCGACGTGCTCCTTCCTTCAGGTAGCCTCTCAATCAGGCATGAGACCTGCTTCCACTTCCCAGGAAGGAGTGGGCTTTCTCTTCCACGCCATGGAGCAACTTCTGCTTCATTCAGTGGGATGTTTGGTGAGAGGTTGAAGGGTGCAGGCTGGAGACCACTGTGGTCATGCTTTCATATGAAGATATGAAGGGCTGGGGACGTGGCTCAGAGGTAAAAGTGCTTGCCTGGCATGCATGAGGCCCTGGGTTCGAATCTCCAAGCACCAAAATATATATCTATATATATGAAAATCCTGTGTGTACATGAGGTATCCAGTCCCCAGGAGAAGAGGCCCCAAACTGGATTAATAAAGTATGTCAATTTTTCTAGGTTCAAAGTCAATAACAGGTGTCTATGTTGGTCCTTTAGAGGGAAGTTGATGACCACATGATAGGAAATTGTCCAGCAGGGAGGGAGGACCAGACCAAGGAACCCAAGGAGATGTGAACTATATGTCTGTGCTCTTGTGTTTTCTTTGAGGACCATTCAGACAGCCCCCTGGGTGCGGCCGTGACCCTGGCACACGAGCTGGGCCACAATTTCGGGATGAACCACGACACACTGGAGAGAGGCTGTAGCTGCAAAATGGCTGCCGACAAAGGAGGCTGCATCATGAACCCTTCCACCGGGCAAGTACTAAGGCTCCCAGGGCTCCGAGAGTGGTGCAGAGCTTGGAGTGTGTGTGGGTAACAGCTGAGCTCAGCAAAATGCTCCCCTGGTTTTCTGGTCAGTCTTCCCCGGAACTTCCCAAAAGAAATCCTTGCCCAAGTAGCAAGAGTGAACTGTGCTGCTCCACAGAGTCACACGCAACCAGTGTGCAGGGCCACATGGCATGGCCCATTCCCTGGAAGGGGTGGGGCTGGATGCTGTGTTTGTTTAGAAATTGCAAATGATKTTATAATGCCAGCGGGTGGTTTTGATTTGAGCCTACAGAGGCTCCCTAGCAATCTGAACAGCCAGCCATGAGAGGGCCTTGCAGACCCAGTGGGCCGAGGTGGGGTGGGTCCCTTGGCCCTAGGGTGTGCAGATGAGGCATTTGCTCCCTCTGGGTTGGCCCGGGGCATGTCCCATGTGTTGGTAGCTTGGGGGTTGTAGTGTCCTTGCACGACATATTACCTTACCAGATCGCAGAGGTTTAAATCAAATCATTTTCTGYTTCCGTAAATTAGGTTGTTTCTCCTTATTTACTGCCTTTCTGAATCTCTAGTCTTGGTTCAAGCAGAGGGAGAGAGCACCATGATTGGAGCTCTCCAAAGAGATGGAAACAAATGCAACTTGGAGTGACTAGAGATTCAGATCTGCTGTACCTTGTTTTCCTCAGCTTTTTCATTGCTATGTAAAAGACCCGACAACAATAACTTAAAGGAGGAAAAGTTGTGGGCGGGCTCATGATTTCAAAGGTCCAATCTATGGTCAGCCAACTCCATAGTGTGGGGCAGAGATGAGGGAGACTATCATGGCCGAAGGGCATGGCAGGGGAAAGCAGCTCTGTAGGTGGCACCCAGGAAGCAGAGAGAGAGCTCCTCGCACCAAGGACAAKGTGAACTCCAAGGACACAMCCCCAGGGAYCTACTTCCTCCAGCTTACAGTTACCATCCACTTAATCCTTATCAGTGGATTAATTCGTGCTGCTCAAAATGTATCTATTTCATCTCTGAAAATTCTTGCATCACATCACACATGCGCTTTTGGGGGACACTGCATATCTCCACTATAACAAACCTCTAAGCATCCACCCCAGACTGGCACATCCTGCTAGCACAGGAGGATTATCTTTAGCAAGGGAAAACACGCCCCAGGGCCATGCCATCTTCTTCAGCAACTCTGAGGCTTCGCACCTCCCGTGGTGGAACTTTCCAAGCCTGCTCTCTGGGTTTGCTGAAAGGAGACACTGGGGACAAGGAGTGAGTGTTGACTGAGTGGACTGAAGACTTGAGCTCTGTGAGGCCTTGGGGCCCCGGGGAAAGACCTGCAAAAGAGTCTCAAAGTCCCAGAAGAGGGAGGGGTCATCAAAGCATGTGGTTGTGCTTTGCAAGCCACAGCCAAAGGGCCTCCTGCCAAATGGCTCGAAGGGCACCAAACTGCCCCGCAACAAAGACCAGGCAGACCACGGCGCMTGCCAGGCACCGTCACTTCACGTGAGCCATCAGTGAGGTGTCTTCTCCAGCAGGTGCTGCTTCCTCGTGTCCCTCGTGTCCATGGCCACCACCAAATGTCCATCCCAGCCTGGGGGCATCTTTTTCACTCAAGTTGGGTGTTAAGCATCGTTCAAGGGAGTCATGGAGAATTTGTGGAGGAAGTTGCTCTCTGCGTTGTGACAACAGAAACAGGGACTGCGCCCAAAATATTTTAGACTAGCATCAAYAGGGAGTGAAATATTCCAAAGCTCTAGATACTAAAAAATGGAGCTTTCAGCCGGCCACTCTGAAGCGTAACTGTGCCCTTGTCATTTAGGGTGTCCCAGCGGAGGCAGCATCACGGCTGGACACTTAGGGCACGGAGTTCCTTCTTTGGGTGTGAGGTTGCCCCAGGGGCCTGTTGGTGCCTTCTGACTCCAACAGGCCATGAGCCCAGATGGAGCCAGTCTCCCTGGGCGGCTCGCGGTGTGTGGCTCTCGGTGAGGGCAGTGGACAGGAAGCTGATGTGGAACCAAGTGGTCTTTTTGCTTTCTTGTCCTAATGAACTCATCAAGTGGCCACAGCAAATRCTCTGTGTGCGTAATTTCCCTAATTATCAAGTGGGCACAAATATATCGGCCTCCTGCCTTCCTGAATTTGGTCCCCAGTGGCCAAGATCTCGTTGTCCATCAATGTTGCTAATGCTTTTAAATTCTCCATAAAAGAAACAAGAGGAAGAGAGGGAAGCCAGTTTGGGAACACCGTTGGAAGAAACCTGACTGTCCCCAGTCCAGCCCAGTTCCTTTGCTATTACCAGGCTGACAAGCCACCCCTCTGGCCCTCACATGCCCAGTCAGGGAAAAGAATGGCAGTCTTGGTTCACGCATCGACCCTCCCCTCCTCCCTCCTGCCCACCCACCCCCTGGTTGGTTCTCATGTTAAACAGTGTTGCCCCTGTGCACTGTGAGGAGGAGAGCACAGAGGCAGAAGACCCCGCAGCCCCAAGTGCAGTCCCGAAGGCTCACTCTCAGCTGACCACAGCCAGCCAAGGCACCCCAGGGGCATTTGAACACCTCAGGTAGAAATGGTATTGTTAAGAGCTCAGCAAAACATTTAAAAGGCTTTTTTCCCCTCTGTTACCAGGGGTTTGTTAATAGCCTTTATTTGATTTATACCTTATTAGCAATTTCTAAGTTTCCTCTTCTGCTGAGCTTGTGCTTTTGCGTAAATCTTTTCTATTTGGTTCTCATTTATGATCCCACATTCCTGTCCAGAGAGTGGTGTTTTTAATTTTCTCAGATGGAAAGCAACTTCCTAAGCAAGTGGGTGAATTAATCACAAAGCCCACGGTGAGGGGGAGGCCAGGCAGCCCCCAGTCATCCATCACCCGCAGTGGAATTTCCCAGGCTGCTCCAGCGTTATCTCCAAGCGGTGGTTCCCTTACCTCATAGTGTCCCCGGGAGAGTGGGAGAGTGGATTAAATGAGCTCATGTGTCTTTGTAAATTGTAAATCACTCCACAGATGCAAGGCAGTATTCCTATTGTATAGTTCACAGAGATGTCGGAACTAACAAAGCCTTAGAGGGGTTTTTCAGAATTCCAGGCCATGTACTGTCCCTCAGCAATGCATCTAGTTTCTGTGTGAAGGGCTCATGTTAAACTGACCACGTCCACATACCAGCCTTCTTTCTGACTTCTTCCTGCCCACGTTGATCCAACCATGGTGGCAAGGGTTAAGAAAGTGTGCTGATTGAAGTCTTAGCCTCAAAGGGACTCAGAAAGAGATGAACCCACAACTGTCTTAATATTAAAGTCCCTGAATCAAAAAGAACCAAGTATTATAAGTGGTTTAAAGGGGAAAATATGTCTGCTGATATACTAGGTTTATCCTTTATCAGAGCATTGCAGAATCCTAGCTCTGAAAACATCGGCCAACTGTCACCTCAGATGAATGGACCCCAGGGCCTGCACGTACATGTAGCTTAGAGTGGGGTCCTGTGTGGACTCGGGTGTTGTAACTTCCTTTACATATTGCAGCAGTGGTCAGAGGGAGTTTCCTGATGGGTCGTATCATTAATTACCGAGCGCCTCTGCGTGTGTGTGAGCGTGTGTTTTGTGTCTTGGGTAGTTAACATTTAAGACCTGTCTTGGAAATCACTTCTTGGCAAATGCAGGATCTGGGGGTTCCTGTGGGAGTTGACTCACTGGAGTCTGTCCATTAATGACCTTCCTGCAGCACTTGCTGGTACAGGGCTGAGGCTGAGGATGCTGCGTGAGTAGCAATAAGAAAATGGAAATGATGTGAGCACTTTTAGTGAAGAACATTTGGCATCATAGTGAAGGCCGTTTCCTGGAGGGGAGAGAAGGCAACATTATATTCCGAAATCGACCCCGCAGATTCCTCTATTTTGCATAGATCTTTCTGTTAAAATGAGAGTCAGGGTGCTAGGGCCATCTTGTGAGGGGGAAAGCGGTGGAAGCTGCAGCACCTGTAAACTGGGCTCCTRCCACCAGTGGGCTCCTTAATGGTGTTGGGGACGCACCTTGAACAGGGAAGACACACTGTGGAACTTACAGTGGGGAAAACATCCTAAGAAAACATTGCAGATTGGAAGGAAGGCTGTGAAGGGAGCAAACAAAAAGAATAGAAGGGGTGAAAGGGGTTGGGAGAGAGGAGAGAGAGAGAGAGAGAGAGAGAGAGAGAATGCACCATTGAAGAGGCTGGGTGTGGCAGTGCATGCCCAATCCCAGCCACTCAAGAGGCTGAGACAGGAGGATCATGAGTTTGAGGCCAGCTTTGGCAATTTAGTAAGACCCTGTCTCAATGAACATAAATAAAGGAAGAAAAATGCCTGGTGGTGTAGCTCAGTGGTAAAGCTAAGTGCTCTACCCGGGTCCAACCCCCCAGTACTGCAGAGAGTGCCACACCAGCTAGAGAGCATGAAGTGAACTCAGCAGAGGGGGCTGGATGCGCCGCTTGAGCCTTGCAGTCAGAGGCCAGGGCCTGGGGCAGGAGGAAATGCTGCTGCTGCTGCTGCTGCTGCTGCTGCTGCTGCTGCTGCTGGGTGGGAAGGAGGAGGAGCCAGGTCCCCAGGCAGGAGCTCAGGTTTTTCTCTCCAGAGTAGTGGGAAATCATTGAGGGTTTTCAGGAGGTAAAACAGTAACATGATCTGAGTTCTCTCTTAAGATTGTTTCATTTTTAAGAGGATGTTATAGCTTCTGAGCTACTGTAGCCTGCCAAATTAAGGGACTTTCTGTAAAAGTATTAGTGCATAAATCCCAGTTTTATTTTGGTGCAACTAACAGGCATTCAGGAAAGAGGAGAGACCCTGCATCCTCCTCCTGGTACCTTGGGTGGCTTATACACACCCTCGTGCCCTGGGGGCAGGATTCTCTTGTAAGACTCCAGTCCCCTCCCCTCTCCTACATTAGGCATCCTTTGAGGWTCCCACCAAAGAGCCACAAAAGAGCACCTTCACATCCCACATCCCTGTGTGTGCATCTGAAAGGAA